CCCTGTAAAATGAATATTTAACTTCAAAAAAAAAATCTTTTTATCCTTTCAAAAAAAGTCTTTTTTTTTAAAGTACTAAGTTATTTAGGCAAATGAACGGCATCACACTATGAATTTATTTGGATTAATTCGTTTAGATTAAATTCATTGGAGAATCCGCTTGAGAATCGAAATCAAATGCTGTGTCCACACGCATTTTGTGCTCTGTCCTCCAAAGTAAGAAGCTCACCGACAATATTGTGTGTAAAAAAAACAAATTAAATAAAAAAATATTTCCTTTAAACAAATTTTGCTTGAACTTAATATTTGGTCACTACATGCCGAGTATTACGGTTAACCGAATATTATGGTTAATTAACTTCATGATTTCATTTAACTTCGAGTTTCTTGAATTAAGAAGTTTAGTATTTTATCATTTCTAAAAGAGCAATCAAACTTTTTCCTTAATTTTAATTTTTAGTAGGTGCAGTGCACAACTTAATAAAAAAAGTAGTGTGATACAGAAGAAAAAAAGTGAGATTCCTGTCAACTGCTTTTATCGTTGGTATAGTAAGGAAACAAGGTTTAAGCTAACTAATTTTTCGAATCTGATGATTATTGCAATTCTTACGCGGATCCGTTAATGGACATCGTAAACGTAATAAGGCTGAACGTTAATAAAAATTACGTCTGATGCTCCAGAGCAGCTAAAGTAAGGATCTTTATTATTGTATTTCATAATTTTTAGGCATTCATTAGCATGTTTGTTATGAGCAAAGGGATCAGTCATTGTAAAAGTAATTAGATATATAATCACTATTTCTTATCTAGCCATTATGTATAACGAATAATATTTAATCTAGCCGTTACGAATAATGGCTAATGGGTCGTACCTTCAAATGCAAATCTACATTCTTAAAACACTGAAAGAATACTTCAATGGAAGAAATCATATTTTGCACTCTAAATTTTTATGTGTTTAATTTCTTAGAGGAAATATTAAAAAAAAAATAAAAAAACATCAAAGACATTACAAAGTTGCAAATAGTATTTAGAAATCTCGAGGCATTTCGTAAATTAATTATTAACGCTCGAGAAGGTTAAAAGAAGAAACTAGTAATAATACTAACTGGTTCATGTAAAATATTCCTTAAATCCTAAAATTTAAATAAGTCAATTGATTAATCAAAATTGAGTGTAAAATAAATTCCTCGGCAAAGTTAGCTTTCTAAAAATAGCGAAGTAGTGATTAAGTTTCTAAAGTAGTTCATAATCCCTATATTTAAAACGAATAATTACAATTATTGTTAACTACATATGTAATGAAGCAGTTATTGCTTTCTATGAAGAAATGCAGCTTTTCCGACCACTGCTTTGAACGATATCCAGCAGAAATACTTTTTGTCAATTTAGTTATTGTTTTTCCTTTCTTCTATTTTAGAACAGAGGAACTTAAATGCTGTTTGAAGCATCGTCAGACCGAATAACATTTGAAAAAGCAAAACATTACCCAATATTTATCAAATGAGTTCTATAAACGAAACAAGAAATATGGAATTATTCATTTTATGTATCCTTTCATAAAGTCACGAACTAGTTTTATTTTTCTTCCAGGGAAGCATCTGCAACATTTTTTTGCTTTTAAATATTTCAACAAGAGAGCATCCAAACGAAATTTATAAATATTTTAACTGCTCTCCATTTTCACTCATTTAAATTCTTTGATATTTGTTCTCAACGAAAAGAGCACCGCACAAAAAACACACTTTCAACTTCACTTTTCAGAAATTTCACTCTTTGTGTAATTCGCACAATTTGTACTAGACTCGAAAATTCCCTTTTCATTCGAAAATTTTCACTCATAATAAATGCACTTTTTCATGAGCCAAATTTCGAGAAAACATTGTTGTAAATAATTCCCTTCGAATGGTATTTTTTTTTCTTCCTTTAAATCAAACTATTTAGAAATACTAGGGATGCACCGGATACTCATCAATGATCCGCTACCCAGTCTACCCGAACAGATTTTCATTAACTGAGTACCGGAATCGTTTTTAGTCAGACTCAGTAACGGGTACCCGGAAACGACCCATTTTCTCGACGCAACCCTATTCAGATTTACAGTAATGTCCAAACCTTGGAAATCTTATTAAGTAAACCTTGGTAATCTTATTAATTGTAGTTTTGGAAATCTTATTAAGGAAGCTGAAATGGGGCAGAATTTCAATTCGGGGAAACCTTGTTTAGAGACCGGCGTTCGATGAAGAAAGGTGCTCGCTTAGGAGATGCAAAATCTAATGCCTGATACTGTATTAACATAAATACAAAATTATAAATGGGAATTGATATTTAATTAAAGTTAATGAAAATCATAATAAATAAAATTGAAAGAAAAGTGTAGAAAAATACGATTGATGTGTATTACTCTCATACTAAATTTGCTTTCAGCAAACGAATAAAGTGTTTCTCTTATTTGGATTTGCAGGCTCAGCATTGGATCGAAACCTAATTAAAGCAGAACATAAATATTTTCTTACATGTGCAGAGATTCATTCCTAATTTATGTTTATGGAACTCGACAAAAACTCATATGGAAGCATTTTATTAGATTTTCATTGCAACATTCACAGTGTACTATAAAAATGAATCTTCGCTCACTTGAAACTAAATAGCTTTATTCTTTCTCTTTGGGTGATGAAAGACCATCGGAATAACCTCATTTTATTCCTTCCTTCTTCTTCTTCTTCTTCATAAGCGCAACAGCCTTTCGCAGGCCAAGGCTGACTCGCAGATTTTCCTCCATCTGGCCCTGTCCGGTGCGACGGCCCGCCAACGGTTGACTCCCAATAGCTTGAGGTCCTTTTCAACGTCGTCTATCCATCTTGTAGGTGGTCGTCCCCTACGTCTCGTCCCTTCAATTGTGGAAAAAGTCACTTTTTTGGCAGGGACGGCATCAGAATTTCTGAAGAGGTGGCCCAGCCACCTAATGCGTGATGCTTTAATAGTTCTCACAATGTCGGTCCCACCGAATTTGTCATATTTTTTGTAAATTTCGTGGTTGTAAAGAATTTATTCCTTCCTAGTACCGCAAAATAGGCGTCAGTTTCGCAGAAAAAGCAAATCTGCCCTTTTTGTTACTGTTTCCTTTAGTTACTTTTTCTTACGGTGGTTTAAAATGACTAGGATACGGAGATACATTAAAGACACACTTCTGTTCCATAAGACAACATTCTATTTATAATTCTGTTCAACAGTTATAATGAGATGAAATTTCTCTCAGAGTATCGAAAAGTTGACGAGGTTATAGTGAGGTAGATCGCACTTAAATTACACTTATAGTTATCAGATGATTAAAAGTTAAACTCTGATAGTTAAACATTTTTCATTCAATGTACCGTTAATTTATAAAAATATTTTTAAAATATCATAAATTTTACAGAAGGTACGTTATTAAATGTAACAGAAAATTTAAGTAAATCAAAAGAAAAATTAACTATTACAATTTTGGTAAATAATATAATTAGCAAACCACTTCATAGCAAAATTTTACGTTAATCCTTCTGCTTCCAAACCGTCACCCCAAGACTAAATGAACCCATTAAATAGGTCGGCTAAATTTACTAATTGTCGGTCCTTTTTCTCAACAAAAAAAAAGAAGGAATGTGCGATTTTCTGCATTCTGTTTTTGAAACCAATCATTTTATTCTCCCTCAGTTTCAAAATATTCAATAGATCACTAACTAGTACTGCAAACTGGGGAAAACTATACGCTATGTTTTCAAAATAGCACCATTTTTCAAAAATAACAGGATGCAGTCTGAGAGTAAAATTTCCAGCACCCCTCCCCTGCTAAAATTTTAGTTGAAATGGACGTCTAGCAGAAATTATTGTTGCATGAGGCATTTCACATCGATTGAAGAACTTTTTAAATATTTTTTTTTTTTATATCTGTTCAAAATTTAGTTTGATGATAAAAGGCTACAAACTCTTTCCAATTCTTTATAATTGATTTTTCAAATTGTAAGTCATTTTTGGGTCACAAAATCGTTACAGAATATCCTGCATATTTTTTGGAACATCGTGCATACTGTTCGGAAGTTATGTCACAGGTGCTTCTTATGTAAATTTATCTTAATGGCTCGCATTTTTTTTTCACTAATTTATGGCTGAATCTCTGAAAAGGTTGGCTGTTACATCATGTGTAAATTCTTAATCAATGTTGTTTTATTTTTTCTTATTCAAAAACCGCGGCTTGGTAATTTTTTTTTATGAGAAAAACTTGAAATAAATTATCCAAACTAAAAATGAAATTTAATTTTTTACGTTAAATTCTATGAAATTGGCGAAGTGGAAGGTAGTAGAAAACGAAAAACATATGCATCGTTACATATTTATAAATTTTATACTATATATTAAAAAAAAAATAATTCTAAATCTTTAAAATTCACAAATAAAAACTGTTTGTTCCAAACTGCCAAAAAAATGCTTCTTATGATTTGCGAGACACGAGACACACAAATGATACAAAGATGAAAGCCTAGTATTAAAAAAACTCTCGTGAAAACAAAAGAAATACTATATCAAAATCTTAAAAATTCATTTTAAAAAATTTAGAAATTAATTAAGACTTATTTTATTTAATCAGTTTCAAAATATTGGTCCTCCACTGTCGATTGTAATCACAGATGCATTAGAACAGATAGAAAAAAATTATATCAAAATAATTGACTTATGAGCAAATTATTGCAAAATTGCCTTCACAGTAATTGTTATGGCATCTTTAAAAATAATTTTATTGAAAAAAAATGTTAATTTCCTCTAGCAAAAAAAAAACGTTTTCTTTAATTTTTATGCAAAAATTTTGTAATGTTGATAATTTTTAAGTTTTCGTGGCAATGAGAGTGGTAATTTAAATTAGTCATTTAATTTTTTTACACTGTTTACAGTTTGCAAATAATAAGACTAAAAGTATGAGCCTCCAACTAAACATTGAAATGAGGATGAAAACGATAACTACATACCAACCCTGGGGGTAGAGACGTTCTTTCCGGAACATTTTCCGCAGAAGTGATGGAAGAAGGAGGAAGAAGAGAGCTTCCACATCCTCTGTAGGTGTCTTCATCCCTTTTCCTTCTCCTCCCTCCCCCTCTCCTCTAGATCCTCCTGTTTATCGTCCGTCAAGACTTCTTCTTGCTAGATGAATATCGCAATATATCGACTGTTTTTCTTCTTTTTTTTCCAACAAATTTTGAAATCTGGATTACGTCAGCATTCGTTTTCAGTTTGATTTTTGAGACAAGGCAAAATAGAAAGAGAATTTAAAAGCGTTTAAGATTTATGTAAAATCAACCTGTTGATTGAAAAGGTATCAATTTGTATTTGAATTCTCGTCATAAGAGGTGGTACAACTAGTCGCTTTTAGAAAGAAAAACATTTCAAAAAAAATCATTTATCTACTGTTTTGAAATGAATTTCAGATGATTAAATTTTGACCCACATGAACTCATTAAATAGTCACATGAACCATGAAAACCACACGAGTCATAAAAAGTTTAAAATTTCATGACAAATAATAATGACAGAACGACAAAAAATAACTCGTAAATTTATTATTTTAATGCTTGTAAACGTGATCAAACTTTTAATTAATCATGAAGACATCATTAATTGTAAAATATTTCCAAATTTCCAAAAGTGTAATCTTTAATGGAGAGTGTCGATGGACTCATATTTTCTCTGATTGCTCACTTCACTGTATTACGAATGATTACATCTTAAAAGATTTAACAAACAAAACTTGTCTCCAAAATAGAACAACATACACACCAGCATTTAACCCCGCGCCTATACCCTTAAAGGGGGCATTTATCGGTTAATTGTTAAGGTTGGAAGACAAGACAGATAAAAAAAAGAGAAAAAATATCAGCTAGAAACCAAAAAAAGAAGAAAATAAAAAGAAACATAAAATTTAAAAGAAGTACAAAAACTGAAAAAAAGAAAAAAGAAACGATTTTTCTATTAGTTAGGGCATTTTGATTAGAAAGTATCCAGAGCTAATTTGAAAAGTTTAATAGTGGTTGGTGCTCATCATTGCATAATTTTGTCATTTTTTGATAAAAATTTATTTCAGGATTTCCTCGTATTTTTCTAGAAAATTAATCAAGTTGGTTGCCTTCTGTTCCAACTTTTGATTCTTATAGATGGATCTCTTCCAGGCTATGAGGAATTCTGTTGTTGTTGTTTCTAATCCCCAAGAGGTCCATCCCAATTAGACCAATTCCATAAGTCCAAAAATGTCGAGGAAGTCTAAAAACAGATGAGGATTTGAAAAAACCTCGTCGATCTTAAAATCGATACAGTTTAGAATATGCTCGGGCGAAGCCTGAGCAGTCCTACATTTAGTGCAAAGTCCAAAAGTCTTTTGCCCCTGAACATACGAGAGACACCTCAAGTGACCACTTGCATGAGGAATTCTAGCTTTGGTTGCTTAAAGTGGTAGGATGTGGTAAGCGAAAGTGGTTGGATGTGGTAAGCGGACATTCTATTGCAAATTGCCACACTGTTCCTCCACAGGCACATGTGTTGACAGTAGCCAGGCAGATCCAAAATAGACCAAAGACATATTAGGTTCGAATCTCGTGAACAAGGTGGCCATTCTTTTCAATTAGAAAATCAGAAAAATTTGCCATTCTTGTGCGGCTTCAGCTCTGTGTGTATTTGAGCAGAATCCTGCTTTCTATTGAAGTGCTTTGATTGGAAAAGCTTTTTAAATGAAGAAAGCATCGTTTCGTACTATGAAAACAATTTGTTTCAAATTCATGTGATTTTAAAACAAATCCCTTTTCTAAGCAAGACAAAGTGTTTATTGAACCGAAACTCTTCTGAATGAGGAAAACTTGTTTTATTTTTAACTTTCCTGTTCTGATAAATGATCATATCCAATCAAGTGTGACATAAAATGTGCCCCCTCACCATCAGATAGTATTCTTCGTCAGCATTTTTCCCTCATCCCTCAAATAAACAAGATAAATTAAAGTAGAAAATTCAAATTAGATGTTCATAAAGTAAATAAGAATCGAAATCTGTTCTCTCCTATAAAACTTCATTAGCTATATTACTTATTTCACTTTTTCTATAAATAAATTTGCTGAAATATCTTTACAATTTCAGGGAACTTTTTTTTTTCAGTTTAGCTAAATCCCAAAGTGCACTGATCATAACATACGGTAGATCACAAAAGTCACTGGCAGCGGTCATTAAGTGAACTACTTTGATTATCCCGGACCGAGGGTGCTCGGGACTCCTTAAACTATTCTACCATAAAGTGCTCGCACGCTAAGGGTGCCTCCCCCTCTACTGAGGATCAAATCATTATCGGATCATCCTCAGGAATGTATCCCAACTCTAGTGCATCGTCCTAAATAAAGTACTACAGTTTAGAGAAACAAAGTATATTCTACAAAGTTACATTAAGAGGACCGTGGATGAAATTCTTTATGGCAAATTCTCTTTCGTATCCAATGGTCTTTGAAAATTTAAAGAAAAATAAGTTCAGGTAAACCCGGAGTTAAACTAAAGTTTCAAATGTTAAAAGAAATGTTTTTAAATTATTAAAATTTTCTGCTACTGTTAATGTGTGCTTTTTCTGGACCTCGTGTAACAATATGGGTAACTCTTGCCTCAGCTCTCTTTCACGAATCATTTTTTATTAAGTTACCATAAATAGATAATTACATCAAAATTATTAATTATTCTATGAAAAAAAACTTTTTTTTGTGTTAGGACTCATTTAGTTCTCGATCCCATAGGGATAAAATTTAGACCTAATAATAATAAGCAAAAATAAAGATTATACATAAAAGTTTATTGACTGGGATTTCCTTCCAGATGCGGGGGTTGAAAATGATACTTTTATTAGCCAACTTAGACTGATAGCCCCTAAACTGTTCCTTATCACCCAATCAAATTGGTTGGAGTCTACGTCATCATAAGAACAAACCAATCGGGGAAACGTTACTTCCCTTAGAAACTGAAGATTAAAAGAAATATACTTAATATATTTATTACTGGATTTATTGGGTACGTCAATTAAATACTGAGATAAGAAATCACTATTGAACTGATTCTAGTTGAATCTCCAAGTTGTGTAGGGAGGGAAAGCATTTTCACTTTAAGGGCATCCCTATCTCTCTTGTTATAACTGTCGTAATTATTTTTAATAATTTTTCTACTTCTCTTTTAAAAAGTATTTTTGCTACTTATTTTTTTCCCTTTTTCGTTTATAAATTTCTCTCTTCTTTCTCTTTACAGTTTTAAATCTTTTTTTTTTTATCTCTTTTACATAAGAAAAAGGAAAAATTTATTTTAAAAGGGAAATAGAAAAATGAGTTAAAACATTTAAAGCTAGATGTTCGAAAAATTTCCTCGAAAATAGCGTCGGAAACATCAATGTGTTCCACTATTTCAATAAAAATAAGAAAAACTAATTTTCTTGTAACTAAACAAGAAAACCAAATTGAGGCATCTTTTATTTTGTAGTAAAATTTCCTGTTAGCACATGCAATTGTATAAAAACATGTATACTAAGAGAAATTGAGACATAATTTTCATCAGTGGTAAATGCAAAAATGACAAAATACTAAAAAAGAAAGAAAAAAGTTTTCAATACTTTAAGTTATCTATATCTATATACTTCAAAACATAAATTTTGTGAAATAATAAGAAATTCATCAAATTTTTACAATATTCTTAATTTTTATACTGTGAAAAAGTAGCCACTATGCTTTATTCAATCTAAAATTTAAAATCAATTGAAAGTGTTGTTCTTACTGTGTATACATCACGTCGATAAATACAATTTACCAATCATATTCTCAACAGAGTTGGGGGCTTTTTGGACAAATTTAACATTTGATTAGTGCAGAATCAAGTCGCATGATGCGTATAACACAAATTTTACAATGCACGTAGATGTAACTTTTGTAACTTAGGAAATTTTCATAAAAATGAAAGTGATATAAATAATTTTGTTAGGGAAATAATGTAATAAATATTGTTAAGGAAAGTGATATAAATATTAATATTCTCATGCCTCAGCTGCTCTTAATTGGGTCCTGTCCGATCCTAAGAATCGTTTGAAAATTTTATTTAGTCCGTTTATGAGAAATGTTTAAAAGTTTTTTTTCTCGCTAGTGCAGCATCAACCATTGTTAGAAATAAAACTGTAGACGATTCGGCTTAATATGTTTCGCACGTTCTTCAATATTTAATTACTTTTTACAAATTCAGTCATCAGAGCCTCGATGGCTAAGGGGATAGAGCATCGCCTTCCAATGAGGTGAACCGGAGTTCGATCCTGGCGATGGCTGGTCGATACGAATTCCGCATCCGGCTTGCACCGACTATAGTGCTGACGTGAAATATCCTCAGTGGTAGACGGATCATGGGTTAGAGTCCCCTTGCCGTCAGGCTAACCATGGGAGATTCTTGTGGTCTTCCTCCCCATGTAACGCAAATGCTGGTTAGTTCCATCAGAAAAGTCCTCCACGAAGGAAAAATTCTCCCACTACCTGATCCAAGAGTTTCCTTGTCTTCTGGATTGGGTTCAAAATTACAAGGCTACGGAGTTGAACATTAGTAGTCGTAAACCGCAAAAAAATTCGGTCGGCTGTTCAACGACGGTTATAAAATTATAAAAACAAAAAAATTCAGACAACAACGTGAAAGGCATATGGATTGGAGCTACATCACTCAACTAATATTTTTAAAGTTATCTGAAACCAAGTGTTTATAGTTATCTTTTCAAAACGTTTTCCAGAATTGCTAAATACTTTAAAATCATCGTTAATTGAAATAAAGAAAAATAAGTTGTATACTAAAATGTAAAACCAATAGAGAAAAGGTACAAGTTTTATTAAGGGGAACCATAAACATATCGACATATTTCATTAACGCAAATAATGGTAATTAGTACTCCTGGTACTATAACTAGTGCGATTTTTAATAGTTATGAAATATATTAATGCAGGTACTACTGAACTGTGATAGATTTTCCACCGTCCACCGAAAGGGATGATCACCTCAGAAAATTGTTTGATTGAGGCTATCATGAGATGCCTCGAGCAACATCATCATGCCAAATGATAAAGATTATAGTTAATCTTTATTTTCATAACATGAACATCTAGAAAAGTATTATGCTCTTCGTATGAAGTAAAATAACTCTAAAATAATAAATTTGAAAAAAACTTTTCCATGATTTACACGAAAATAAATAAGAAAAAATATTTGAGTGTAACTTCATAAAATCGAATTCTCTTTTAAGAAGGAACCGTCTTCATGCTTCATTCTCAAACAAATTCGTTTTAAATTATTATAAACCTCCTTTGCATTTATAGACTACAGTGGTAATAAGTCAAAGTTTGATAATGCTTTTTTTTTATTCTCACTTAAATATTAATTTGTTAACCCTAATCTTCATAAGTTTTTATTAACCTTTAAAATGATTATAAGAATTCAGGGTGTTTTGTATTGACCTCTTTGGATCGTTAGTTTTATATTTCTCATGATTAGAATCCAGGTTTTGATGATCTAAATAATTAATATAAATGCCTTTAAATGGAATTTTTTAGACCATCAAAAATCTGGATTTCAATCTTAAGAAATATAAAAGTAATAATCCAAAGGCGGTCAATGCAAAACACCCTGAATTTCTATAATCCTTTTAAAGGTTAATAAAAACCCATGAACATTAGGGTTAACAAATTAATATTTAAGTGCGAATGAATAAAAGCATAATCAAACTCCGACTAATAACCACTGTGGTCTATAAAAGCAAAGAAGGGGTTAAAATTATTTAAAACGAATTTGTGTCAGAATGAAGCATAAAGACGGTTCCTAATTAAAAAGAGAATGCATTTCTGTCCCAGTAAGCGAATTAACTAGCACCTCTTCTGTTCTTTATAACCTCCATTTGTAAAGGCCTAAAAACTCTTATTTATTTTTTCATTTTTTTTATTTTATTATCGACGAATTTAGAACTATTATTGAACATATTTTTTATTTCATTTCATTAGCACTAGAACCTGACTGTCGAGTTTTTCACGAATATATGTTTTCCACTAATTTGATTCTCTTTCGCAAGCGATTTTCACGCACTCAAAAATTTTTCGAGCAAAGAGATTGGTCCCTTTCACTAACTATGATATTTGCGTATTTTTCGCATCAAGTGAGAACAGCCCTTAAAGGCATCAAATCGTTCTCAGAATAGGGTTATCCCTGTCACACACATTATTTTGGTCACCTGTATTGACTCTAGGCCAACTTTACAGTATGAAATTGAGATAGATATAAAATTTAATTATTAATTAAATAATTTTTTATAATCGTAAATTAGTGACCTTCGGTGTCCAGATGGTTCACTTTCACAAAATCACAACTTCGCACTTCCATCAAAATGGAGTCCAAACGCTCTGTTAAGCGTGGAGGTAGCGGGTTCGAATCCCGCCGTAACCCTGGATGTATTCTTTGTGATGTCTTTCTCTGAATTGTTCTATCTGTATTTTCTACTTGACAATGACTTATAAGCCTATATTGAGCACACAAGTCAGCAAATGTATGTAATTTCAATAAAATAAATAATCAAAATGGAGGGGCCTCCCTGGCCAAGCGGTATCGCCCGCCAAACTCTCTGTTAAGCGGGGAGGTGGCGGGTTCGAATCCCCCGTAACCCTGGATGTATTCTTTGTGATGTCCTTCTCCGTATTGCGCTATCTGTCCTTCTACTTGACAAAGGTTTATAAGCCTTAATTGAGCACACAAGCCAGCAAATGTATGTTGTATCAATAAACAATAATAAATAAACCATCAAAATGAAAGTCTGCTCGTTTAGTACTCCCTCACGGACTCGCAGCTTAACGTCTCCCTATTGATTAAACTTGTTCAATGGCTTAATAAATTTAAAGCTTTGATTTTCTCACATAAACTCGTCACTGCATTGCTCCTCGCCAATGCATCTCACTCAGTATAGTTACAAAATAGTATTACACCTTTAAAGTGCAATAAGACGGATTATAAATCATGCCCAGAGTTATCTGCTCCATGTAGTTATTTGCCGTTCATGACAGCCTAGCCCCCCCCCCAAATATATTTTTGGACAATAAAATAAAATAATGGCATTTTTACTGCAAAAAAAAACTTATAATTTCTTTTTTTTTTTTTAATTTTTGAATCGAAAATTGTACTGTTAAGTTAGTTTGTTTGTTTGTTTTGTCCATTTACGTCGCACTAAAGCTGCACAATGGGCTATTATGAGAAATGTTTAAAAGTTTTTTTTCTCGCTAGTGCAGCATCAACCATTGTTAGAAATAAAACTGTAGACGATTCGGCTTAATATGTTTCGCACGTTCTTCAATATTTAATTANCAGTTTAACGAGGACCAATACCGCACACCCTCGGTCCCTACGCAGACTGACCCAAGTGGTCACCCACCCGCACATCGGTGATCTGCTGGGAACCGTGTCTTAATGATCAGTCCACTGCGGGACCTGTTAAGTTAGATAGCTTTACCTCCGTCGCACTAGAGCAGCACAATGAGCTATCAGCGACTGCCTGGGAAATATTCCTGAGGATGATCCGAAAACATTCATCACAATTTTGATCCTCTGTAGAAGGGATGGCTCCACTGCTTTGATAGCCGATAAGCTGCGAGTCGAGCACTTTAAGGTAAAACAGTTCAACAAGGACTGATACAGCACAACTTCGGTCCCTACGCAGGCTTATCAAAGTGGTCACCTACCGTCTTATTAACGCAGCCAGCAATCCTTTATTTCAGTGTTCTACTGGGAACTGGGCCTTTACGTCCACTGCGGGAACGTATATTTAAGAAAAATTGCATTGTCGCAATAAAACCGCATGCGGTTGTATCGCATTTGATTGGTGGCGCAAGCTACAAAACTGATAAATATCCAGTTTATTTCATCTCATTCAAAAAACTGAGACCAGAATTATAATTATAAATTATATAGTTCAAATAATATCTGTCCCGCAGTGGACTGATCGTTAAGACACGGTTCCCAGCAGATCACCGAAGTCAAGCATCACTGACTACGGTCAGTGTGCGGGTGGGTGACCACTTGGATCAGTCTGCGTAGGGACCGAGGGTGTGCGGTATTGGTCCTCGTTAAACTGTGCTACCGTAAAGTGCTCGACTTCGCGCGCAGGTCGTCGGGCTACCGAAGCGGGGGTGCCATCCCCTCCGCAGAGGATCAAAATTGTGATGGCATGTCTTCGAATCATCCTGCGGGATGCTTCCCAGACCGTCGCCAATAGCCCATTGTGCAGCTCTAGTGCGACGTAAATTAACAACAACAACAACTACAAATCAAATAATATCTAACTTGAGCTATATCGATTTAAAACTTATGATTATTCGAAGCTGCATTTGAGGATTAAGATTTCTTCTTTATATTCCATTGTCTCTTACGTTATTAAAATTTTTTCATTTTTCATTCATTATAATTGCGAAATTTTTTAAATAATATAACACTATGCAACGATTTAAGTTTAAACAGTTTTAATCGTTTAAAAAGTTCAATGTTTTCATCTTAACCAGAAAGCCTGGAATACAAAACTATTGCGCATTTATATGTGAACTTTGGCATCAATCAGAAAAAAAACCTCAAAAGTTGTAAGGTGTAAGCACAGAGATAAGATATAAAATTTAGGAAATGGGCTGGCGAAAAAAAATATTGTGTTTATTTATATTTAAAACGAAGAAAAATTTTTAAACTTTTAATCATATAATAAACGAAATATGCGTTAAATATTCTCAGGTAGAAATATTTAAGCTACGTCAATTCCTATAAAGATATACTGTCAATTCAAAAAAGTGTCACATGAAAAGTAAAATTCTTTTGAAAAATTAAGTAGAAATAGAAAGAAAACATGAACTGTTTCCATGTTAACAAGTTGGGTAAATTTGATTTATTTTTTCTTAGTTCTTTATCAAGAATCATTATTTTGTTGTATTTATTTTCCATAGATTACTTATTCTAATTTCATACGTAGTTGTAAGTTGACATGTCTCGCTATTGCATATCAAAAGAAATGATTTTGTGTTTTCTTAAAAGACAAAAGTGTTCCTTCATTATGTAAATTAAGTTTTCAATATCACAAGTGCTGTGGTATGAAACTTATATAAGCTAAAGCATTCAGCTGGTTTTTTATGAGTTATTATTTTTGTTTATGCTGTGTGATTGATCTCGACATTTCCATTAATTTTGCAGCTCTTATTATTGTATAATAAGCTGAATATCTTGTTTTCATGTTTACTGCACCAAGAAACATATTAATATGTTACTTATCTTTTTTTATTTCGTTAAATATTTTATGATTATTTTAGCTTTGCCTCATAAACAAAACATTTTGGAAATGATTATATAAAGTTATTTTATTTAAATATTAATTCAAACTTAAAATACATATACAAGGCATCATTTAATCTATATTTCAAATATTATTTGAATATAAAACAAATTATGCGTTTTAATATAAATTATATGAAAATATTATTTATAATAATAATATTTCCATTTTTATATCTGGCAAATTAAATTTGTTTGACGTCTTAAATTTAATCTTGTGAATGTGTAATAGTGAATAAATTTTAAGAAACTGTTTGAAATCTAACACATTTAATAAATATGGGATCATGCTAATAAATATTAAATTAAAAAGCTGATTGGCTCATTTAATTTTTATTGCATGTTTATTCATTTACAAACAGTAGGCTTTCAACTATCTGATTTAATACTGTCTGGCCTGTGTATTTTCTAGGATAGAAAAATGTTTGAACTGGTTTTTAGTAAAACTTATTATGAGAGATAGTGGAGTAACGTTAAAACAGTAGACCGCCGTCAGCCCCCTTCTTTTTGTGTGGCTTAAAACTCATAAAAAGTGTATAGTTTGATTTTTTTAGTTGTAATTTTTTACATTTGTGTAGTTTTCACACTATATATTCTGCACCTATAGCTTATTTTTGTGTCCTTAAGTTTCTATGTGCAATAAATTGGATTAGAAATGCAACCCATGTGTAAACTAAACCTCTCATGAAGCTTTATTTCAAAAACAGCGATTGTTCAGAAGATTTATGTGAAGAAATATGAAAAAATGTTGCAGGAATTCTCTATAAAATCCCTCATCAGAATAATGTCATTAAAGAGAGAATGATGCCACCTATTGCAGACTGATTGAGCTTAGACTGCATTCTTTAGTGTAGAGGACTAAATTGTAATTCACTCTAAAGTATGGCATCACTAAAATGAGACTCAGAATACCCTAAAATCAGGGTTGGCAGGTTTTTGACATGTGACAGTTTTTGACGGTTTAAACCGTCACGTCAAAAACCTCACTGTCGAAAATGTCAAAAACCTATATTCATATGTGAAATTTAATTAATACATAAAATTTATATATTTTTTATAAAGGNATGACCAGAGTACTTATATTCTCAACTGAATAAATATCTGATCAGTAGAATGCTCCTGACTGGTTCATCCTGTTAATGTTTGGGCAACTGCAGAAAAGACAAAAACTGAATGGATACACTTGTTGTAATCTTGATGTAATAATCTGATTTTTTTTTTTTTTTTATGTATCATTAACACAATTCTTTGATGGTCTACAGATATTTTTGAAAATATCTCGTGCACTTACGAAACGGATGACAAGAATTGCTTGTATAGCATGCAATTAAAGTGAAAGGGAAACTTGAAACTCATTCCTTCACTCTTAACTCCTGGAGAGAAAAAAAGATTTTTTTGATGAGTGAGGCAGATAGTTCCCTCTAATGACCACCCTCATCGAAACTGAGAGGAATTAATACGAACAGAAAGGAGAACTTTTACCGAGACCCTAAAAAGACAATTATTTCAACCCTTTTCGAAAAATTTGAAATAGATTTTAATTTAAAAAATTTATTTTAGAAAAGCCAGAAAGAAAAATGCAGAATCCTTGATCAATCTGGTTAATAAACGTTGGGATAAATGGAATTATACTGTATTTTCTTCTTCATGTGCACTACAATCCAATGTGAGCTTCCTCCAACACACCCTATCGGATGGTTACCATAATCCACCATTGATTGACCTGCTTTCGCACAGTCCATCCATCTTGTTTGTATAAGGTCTTTTTCTAGTGTTCTGTCAATTTGCTAAGGTGACCTTGTTAACAAGAATTCAAGCTGCCACATCTAAAATGATGTCCAAGCCATTGGATACGATAAGCTTTGATAACTCTGGAACAAAATTGTCTGGAAATCTGATGAAACAGAATTCTCTGTCTATCTTCGTTCATGGTTATCTGTTATTACAGTTCTGATTTGTTAATCTGTTTTAAACTCTATCAGCATGTGTCATCTCTGCTCTTAATTCTGCCTTTTATAATTTTTAAAGAAAAATTTTGATTTTGTGTATATAATTCTAAATTCTTTCTTTTTTAGATTCGTATGAGAGTGAGTGAATAGGATGCCTCCCCCACCACCTCCTGCACCTCCACCTTTGCCAAAAATCGGTGGGGCTTCTTCTAACACCAAGTCAAATAATTTTGATCCTCCTCCAGACAGAAATGCTCTCCTCTCTCAAATCAGAAAGGGAGCTCGACTGAAAAAAGCTGAAACAAATGACAGAAGTGCACCTCTCGTCAATGGTATATTTCTTGATCATTCATTTCAATTTAAAAACTTAATTTTCTAGTGTTTGTCATATATATATACATATTTTAATGAATAATATAAATTTGAATTAAATATTAAATAAGTTGTGTTTACAATGGAATATGCACAAGTTAATTGTATCAAGAAGAGATTATTTAAATCCGCTATTAGAAACTTGCTTGTCGTAATTGCATCGTAGTAAAAATAACGGGATTGTCAAAATCACGTGAAAAAGCATCACAATGATTGCAATCTTAAGAAATTTATTTTCTTTCCGATTTGGAAATTAATTCTTTAACTACATTTGATTAATAAACTGTTTAAAAAATTGTTTTTGGATATTACTTTTTAGAAAATTTCTATTACATAGTTTGGAAGAAATCTATTTCTTCTGGTGTGATTTTTTTTTAATGTGGGAAAAACTTTTTATTTCATTATGTGAGACATTCATCTATTCTTTGATATTTAACTCATTAATCCTTTTTCTACAATTTTAAATGGAAAAATAAAATTGTTCATCATTTAAAAGGTATGGTTATAATTTAATTATTAAGAGTTTTTTTTTTCTTAACAATAACGATAGAAAATCAATTCATCAAGATTTTGGTTATAAACGGTTGTTCTGCAATAAGTATAACACTTATGCTCTGTAATCAATCTTGTTGCAAAGCATTAAATTCTTGGTCCTATTTCTATTGCTTGGATTATAGTACCATTTGAATGGATTAGCCTTAAGCATGGTCATTTTTAGTGAAAAGACTATTCAGTTTTCATGTGGACAACACAGGGCAAAATGATTTATGCTTTTCAAAAAGTTTTTTTAATTAAAGTTGTTTTCTTTATTTTATTGAGTTCTGGAGAAATGTTTATGAAGTAAAACATTTCCATAGATGTATTCACTTTAAATCTTTTTATTTAAATGTGTGTATAAGTTATGGCTGAAGCTCGAAAGCTATTGATGTGCGCATTAAAGGGCAGAATCAAGAGTTTTCTGCTATTTACCTATGCAAAGTGTGCATTAATTGTTTTTCGTATTAGTAAAGTTCCAAAATTTGTTTTTCTCATTCTTTTAACTAATTAGTTTCTTGTTTAATTGTATTTCTTGACTTGTTTCTTTAAGTATTGAAAAATAAATAAATGACTCTTTAATTTCCTTAATTGAAATATTTTAAACTGTTTGATTCATCGTATAATAGTTTAAGTGATTGATTCTATCAACTAATGCATTAGTTTTTTTTATAGCAAAAATAAATTAATGACGTTGCGCTGATTAAAGCACACAGAAACGTTGCTGTTTTTCCAACAAAACCTTGTTTTCACTTTCACGATTGCCTAGTTGATAATGGGCAGATTATTTAACATGTTGTGATTAAACTGCTAAACAAATTTCAGTAAAATTGGGAGAAGTTCTTCACTATATAAAAAGAAACTGAAAATTAGATAAGTGTTAAGATTGCAATCTATTCCCTCATTTAAATTTATAAAGTTAGTCTATCTTCTAAAAAGGAATTAATAAGTATTCTAATTTCCTCGTTCGAAATACTATTAGAATTTATATTATTTTATTTATGGGTATAAATTTCAAAAGCAAATGTTTGATTTTTCTCATTTGTTCACTATTATCATTCCTTCATTGTGAAAAAATGACACTTTTGTGAGAAATTATTAATTCTAAAATTAATTAGTTCTAATGTTTTTAAACTCTAGTTCTAATTAATTCCAATATATATTAAAGTATTTTTAACAGAGATATTATTATTATTTGTCTTTGTTAACTAGACTATTCATTGTAATTAATAGTCTAATTGACTAAGATGATTACTATCTTTGTTAACTAGACTTTAAATAAATAAATGCATCAGACTATTAATTAATAGACTGAGATAATTAATTTCAAGGTTTTTGAAGTCTAACAAAGATATTTTCTTCAACTTTTTATTTTTTAAGACCGTATAAAACTGGCATATGCTTAAATATATTCATTAAAATTATTATTTTAACCATGTTCACAGCTAAAATTATTATTCCCGCACCATGTTATCAGTCTCTTTATTGATAACTTCTTAATAATAATTTTAGTAATTTTTTTTCTTTTTTAAAAAAAAGTAATACATTACAAAAAATAAGTAATTCTTGACACACTATTTTTTCTTGTTTTCAGTACCTGAAAATAGCCTATTTGTAGAGAATGACCCCTTATTTTATTCTTTAAAATAGTGTTAACTATATATTTTTTAAAAAAATTTCTCAGGTGGAGGAGGAAAGTCGTCTTCAAATGGAGCGGCTGTCAGACAGCAGAATACTGACAGTAAATCAAATGCTTCTTCTTCTTCTTATCCCATCATTCCTCCAGGAGGATTATTTGCCCAAGGCATTCCAAAATTGAGACCCACGGTCCCTAAATCAGGTACCTCATCTACTTTTGTAAAACCTCAAATGTTGTGTCTTTACCTGTAGTTCAAGGGTCAAATTTCAACCCTATAATGCTCAACTAACTATGTTTCAATAATGTTTGCATATTTAAACCTGCCAACTCTCATGCTTATGTATTCAATCTCAGAATCTCAAGCTTCCAAAGTATTTTCTTTGACTTATTGCTTTTTTATAAGTGTATGATTAGGAGGACCCGTGCTCAGTTCACGTACAGTTTAATTTCATATCAGCAATTTCGTAGTTTCAGTGTATTTAGTTTATTTTTAAGTTGGGTTTTTTTGTTTTTTTTTTAGATCCTTTTTTGAGACGTACTTTTTTTTTTCTTCAAAGTATTTGATAATCCTAAAATAAAGTGTAACACTGCTCTAAGCATATATGAAGTACCGCATTATTCTGTTAAAATAGCAAATTTGAGAAACATTTCAGATGTTTCTTTTTTGAGCACCAAGTGTTTTGTTGTTCTGTTTTTATAAAAGTTTGAAGAAAAGATGAGAAAGCTTTTTTTCTTGATATTATGAAACTCTAGTTTTCAGATTTTCTGTACGAACATAAGCACCCTATTTGCTTTTAGAAAACTGTTAATTTATTTTAAGATTTATAATAAACATATATTATAAAACTTAACTTCTTATATATGCATATTTATTTCTAATATATATGTATATTTATGTATATAAAGTGTGTATAAATCTTAAAATAAACGGTTTTCTAAAAACAAAAAGTGTTCTCCTCATGCCTTAACCTTTTCCAGGGTCCTGTGATAGCAGTTGTCACATCTGATTTTGGGTTCCACTGGTGGGCATGTGACATTTTCAGCGTAAGATTGGGGGACTGAATCTTGTCCTCTGATAAGACAGACAATCAAGTTACAGGGGGATGTGTTTTATTGTTTTAGCATTACGGGAGGTCTCACCTTTTTCAGTTAAGGGGAGAAAAGTTTCTTTACTTTTCCCACCTACCTTCAAACATCTATTCCAAATTTGGGTACTTGTTCATTTGTCTGCCGTTTTCTTTCTTCTTTTTTTTAGTCAGTTTCAATGTTGCTATTTTTTTGTTTAAATTTTTTTGTTCAAGTTGTAGGTTATTTTTTGAAAAAATTAGTTTCTTTTTTACAAATTTAATTTAATGAATATTGTCAATTGTACATAAAAAAAAATGGAATATCCGGAATCGAAAAGCGTTCTTTTAAGTGAATTAAATCAAATTAAAATAAAATATCAAGCAATATATTTTACATAAACTCAAACAAATAAAGTTTTTTTAGGTTCTGTTTTAAATTCGTGTTTTAAAACTAGTTATTGGAATTTTAAAATTTTGATTATAATTGCAGCAGTTTAAAAAAAATGTTCTTACATGATTTTAAATAAATATTTGCTTTTCCGAAAAAAAATATATACATTTATTACGCAAGAGTATTCATTCATACTTTAGGATACATAAATATTTTAAATATCACATTTATAAATATTTAATTTATAATACTAATATATTTTCTATGTTTTCGAAATTGAAATCATGAACGCTATTTTAAACTTTATTTTACAAAACCATTTTACTTTTGTGGTAGCTTTCATGTTTCTTGCCCTCATTCTACACACAGTTCAGCTTTTAGTTATAGTTTCTATAAATTCTTTTAATATCTCAGTTTTGTATCTTTTTATAAGAGTGAAGCTAAAGCTTTGAACATTAAAATTCCATAAATATATTACATGGGTAAGTTGTAGTCTATTATGAATGACTGTATTTAAAAAAAATATTTAAAGCAATAATTTATTATATATGTTACGCAGTTTCAATGTTATAAAACATAAAATGTTTGTGTTTAACGCATAAAAAAATTTTTCAAAGGAATGACTTAAACTATTATGTACTATTTAGAAAATAAATTTATAAAATGAAAAGAATTTATTTGATAACATAATTTTCAATCAAAATGACCTTGCTTTTTGCAAGAGATAATCTTTCAAATAAGCCGGGAGGTAGGGCAGATTTATCTTCATTACCTCGCTTTTTTATTATTATCATAAATAATAATAACAATAATAAATAAATGAATCTGATGAATAAAGAGAAAAATTATTTATCATTTATTGAAGTGACCAGTATTTTTCATAAATAGATGAAGAAGATGAAAATCAAATAATTAAGTCAAATAGTTAATATCAAATTACATTTCCTATATTGTCTTGCAACGGATATGACTTAAATTCCTTCACTAATAACAGATTTATGAAGACACTAACTCAGTCTAAACAATGACTAGTTTCATTTTAAATAGTAGTTTAAAAATTAATGAGTGGTTGAAAGACTTCTTGTAAAATACTTTTGTTTGCTGTTTTTATCATTTTTATTTAATTAACTTATTGATTTTTAGTATAAATATATTCACAGATATTTTAAAATTGTTTTTAATTGGGATTATGTGTTGATAAACTTGAAAACAATAAAAAGTGTCACATTGTGCTAATAGATGAATGTGTGTAAATCAGTACAGTACAAGAGAGTCCGACTTTTTATGAAAAGTCGGTATGTGAAATTTATTCCCCCCCCCNCCCCCCCAGTTTTATGCTGAAACCAATGATACCACTGAAGAAGATTTCCTACGCTTCTACATAACTTGAAAAGCAGCAGAAACTTATGATCCCTTACCAAGTGGTAGAAACATTTCTCTTCATTCCAACTTTTAGTTCGGATTGTTCGATATGCTCCTTTTTTTTTTAACTGCGCGCATCTTCGCTTATATATATCTCTATATTTATTTTTTTCTTTGTGTATTCATGTAAAGTTTAAAAATTATGTTTTTACTTCATAATATTGTTATTTAATTTGTTAATTTTATGATTTAAGATTATTACATTTATCTTAAATTTTTTCATCATCGTGCCTAAAAGGAAGTATTTGAGTCAAAAAGAAATTGAAATCCTTGTTACTTGTAAGATCTGTAACATAGTTCTAATTATATGGGTCATGGGTCGTTCATAATTCAGTGCCCTTAGATGCCCGCTTTAAAATTATCTCTATATATATTTTTTTTTTTTTTCTCTNTTTCTTTTTTTTTGTCTGTCTTGGTGACTTAGCATGATTTTTCTTTATAACATAAGCTTAATAGGCATTTTCATATAAAAGATAGATATTAGAAAGCTGGATATATTATTTAAAAAAAAGCTTTTTGAAGAAGAAAGAAATTTATTGAAAGGGAATTGAAAACTTAGTTGTAGGAAACATAAAACTAAATATTTGTTTCTCAAAACTTTCCTGAAACTAAATATTCTGTTTCGTTATATTTTATATTTGCGTTAAATACTCCAAATTACATTTTGAAGAGAATATAAAAACTACCAATAAAATTTCGGGAAATAAATTGTTATGCTAATGTTGTGTATCTGTGAAATGCCCTCAAGAGACCTGTCTACAAAAATATGACATTACAACTATTTATGTTCTTTCCCAAGATTAATAATCTTTCAATGAGATGTTAAATTTTCAGAAATGTTACAAATATTTATAATGTAAAATATTGATATTTATAATGTATAATATTGATATTTATAATTAACTAAATTAAGACCACAAAAAAGAACTCTTTATGCATATAAAAATTTATTCAAGGAAAAACCGATTTTACTAGCAAACAAAAATAGTTTTTCGTCATTTTGATCCAATTTCAATGCCTAATGACTCTCAGGATTTCACACTTAAAACATAGTAATGCAAGAGAGGATGATCTATCCGTTATTTATGTGAAAAATGGATATGAACCGGTGAAAAATGGATATGGAGTTTTTCCTTTGGTCTTCAAAATTTCCGACATTTTTTAACTCAATAAAAGAGTGTTTATGATCACTGTACACCTAATTAGCTTTTTTTATTTTTTGTGGAAACATGTAAATAAACCAATCGTTTTAATATGGCATCAAAGAGCTTATAAAAACTAGATATAACTTTAATAACTGATATAAATAACGCAGTCAAACTGAAATTTTCAAAAACTGAATTACCTGTTGAAACAATATCCCAAAAAACAATGTTTTTTTTAACTATTCTTCAAATGCATAATAATATTTTTACATTTTAAACAGTAAAATGTTTGAATGTTTCATAATAATACGTTGAAAGTATTAATGTAAAACAGTGAGCAATGACATACCACAATTACAATAATTTTAAAGTAAATATATAATAAAATATGTTTGATGGAACGAAATAAACTTTTTAATAGAAATCAAACGTGAAAAAGATAAAAAAATTCAATAAAATTACTTTCATGATAGAGATTTTAATTGTTATTATAGTTTAGAATGGATACTAACATTGTAATCTATAGTTTTCTTTTTTGTTATTTGTCTTAAACCGCAAATGTAACATAATAAGTAACATAATAACATAATGTAACATAATAAATATGTAACATCAAAAGCTTCTATTAATCTTTTTATGTTATCCTAATTATTCTAATCAAAATACTTTCTCACACTTTTAAAAAGCCACATCCTGTTCCTAAATCTATTTTTGGCTCAAGTATGCATTTAATTAAAAGCAGGGAATTTTTCCCTTTGCTCTCTGTGGGATATTTCTATTTCATTAACCAATAGCAACTACTAAGATTTCCCTCTTTCCCTAAATTAAGACATTTTTCGGATTTTACTTTGCAAGATTTTCCCTAACGTATAACCAAGGACCGCAACTTTTTGTGTTGACTTTTACACACTCTCATGACTGCTCTGTCTAATAATTGATAAATAAATTTTGTACTACCCTCCTTCCCAGCCTAAGACCTGTTTTAATCCTTCCACTCGGCAATGATGTTATAAATCAACAGGATTGAATGGTCGGGAATGGACACAATTAGAGAGCTGAGCTTCAATATTATTCACCGCCCTTGGACTAAAAAGAAAAACTACATCGGACTCCTGAGTTTTTGATTTGAAACCCCATCCCTTCCGTCCGGAAAGATTTGTTTTGCATCTGCCAGTGCTGCTCTTAATTTTATCGTCAATAAATTGTTCTCACCTCGTCTTATTCAAGGAGAAATATTATTCCTGTTAACGAAGAAACAAATTTTTTCACTAGCAGCTCTCGTCTTTGGAATTGTGTTCATGTAATTTCAACACAGTTTCATCTCTGATGTTGCGGTTTTCAAAATATCTTCTTGGACTAATTCGTACTTTTACACGTATCCTTTGTGTTAATTTTTTTACACTTCTCATAAAAGAAATTTCTTGGATTTTTATTGATTAATAAAGAAAAAAAAGCATTCATATAGATAAACAAAAATCATAGATTATGATTTTAATTTTTTGTCTTATACTTTATGTTTCAAAGTGAACTAATTATTTTTTATGCATTGATCATATTTACTGTTGAAATTTTTTTTCTTGAAATTTTTATTTTCAGTGAATTGATTGTTTTGATTGGCATTAAAAATGTTTCGAGAAATTATTTTCATATTTATTGTTTTATGTGTTACAGTTTCCATGATTTATTGATTAGTAGAATTTATATTTTTATTTTACTATAGTGTGTAGGGTTAAGATGAAAATGCCATTAAAAAAAATTTTCTCTTCTTAATGCAACTACAATAATTTTTGAAATTCAATTTTAATGTATGAATGCAATTGCGGTGTGGCAGAAATTAAAAATTAAATCAAGAAATGTTAAAACTAGTGCAAATAATTTGGAATTTAATAAAATACTTGTTTTTAGAATTTTAATTGAAATGTGAAACCCAAAATTAATGCTTGAGTCCAACGTTGGTAATTAGTTCATAGCTCAGTTCTATCTCAGACATTTCCATAAGCAAACAAAGTTTCTTGGTGCTGAGAGTGAATCCCAACATAAAGATAAAGTGACCAAACACAAATTGAAAAATATAGTAATCAAATACACTTGAAAAACACGTTTAAAATAGAAATGAAAATATTACAATTTCCTAACACCCGATTGTGATAAATTAAATTACCAATTAAGATCTCTGCAAAAAATCACTTTAAAAAAATATCCGAACTAGAATGTTTGAAAAAAAAAATTATGTCCAGAAAGAAGGAAAGAAAGATATTAATGAGAAAAAAAGGAAACAAAAGGTAATTTGCGAATTAACCAAACTTGCACTTCAGATTAAAAATAAGGAAAATAGCTAGGTCAGTCAAATTTTAAAAACTGATTTACCTTAATACTATATTAAATTTGAAAGCTTTGTTTTGGATTTAACTTAGTGGTAAATTTTGTTAAACGGGTTGTAATTTAAAATCTGAGAAGACTGATCACCTTTTCTGATTATAAAAGCAATTTGTATTTACACATTTCCTGAAATCCGGGTCAATGATTGCAATAAAAATGCCAAGAAAGAAAAGAAAAAGTATAAATAAATATAGAGAAAATAGAAAGAAAAGAAAAATAAAGGAAAGAAAGAAAAGAAAATTTTGGACATAAAATAAAAATAAAAAAAAAAAAGAATAACAAGAATGTAAACAAACTGAATTCAAAGAAAAAAAAGACAAAAAATAGACTTTGAAACAAAGATTTAAATAGCAAAACTGAAAATGATCTTGAATTTTCTAATATTCTTGAGAGTAAATGTAATAATTATGCGTAACATTATCACATGCGTCAAAATTATGTAGACAGAATTGTTCAAATCCGAGATAATAAATAAATTCCTAACTTGAGGAAATTTTACAAAATATTTTCAAATATTTTGCTATTAAAGTGACAAATATGAAAGGTAAATAATAAATAAAGTGAAATGAAGGCAATACTGAAGTTTTGGACTTCAAAATAACTACCATTGTGTCAATTTTTATTTTATTTTGTTTTCAAACAAGGTAAAATATACTCAAATCTAATTTCAGATTGAAATTTTTCTTGTAAAACTGTTTTTTGTGTTTTACATTTTAAATTACAGATTTCTAACAAATGTTTATAAATATTTGTCATCATGATTGAAGAGTTAACTTAAATTGTGTTATGAAGAATACTTCTTATAGTGAAAAAACTGTGTTGTGATCTTTAAACAAAAGACTTTTGGAACTGAAAAAACTGTTGAAAATGAAAATCTTAAATTTGCTGATACAAATTTTTAAGAGTGTTAAAAAAATTTTACCATGAGTATATATGTAAATGTTTTATAATTCATATTACTTTTATATATTGTTAACATTACAAATTTGATTATTTTAATTGTGCTTCTATCAGAGGGAAGATTTTGCAAATTAGTAATTTTTAAAATTTTTGGATTGTAATTAAACATTTTTGGCGAGGGGGGTTGTAACATAAAAAGCTTCTTAATCTTTTTATGTTATCCTAATTAATTATTCTAATTGAAATACTTTCTCACACTTTTAAAAGCCACATCCTGTTCTTAAATCTATTTTTGGCTCAAGTATGCATTTAATTAAAAGCAGGTAATTTTTCCCTTTGCTCTCTGTGGGAAACGCTCGATCTATTTCATAAACCAATAGCAACTACTAAGATTTCCCTCTTTCCCTAAATTTTAGATAAGACATGTTTCAGATTTTACTTTGCAAGATTTTCCCTAACATATAACCAAGGAGCGCAACTTTTCATGTTGACTTTTACACACTCTCATGACTGCTCTGTCTAATAATTAATAAATCAATTTTGTACCCTCCTTTCCGGCCTAAGACCTGTTTTAATTCTTCCACTCGGCAACGACGTTATATATATATATTCATTGTGAGTGTGTGCTTGCGTAATTTTTTTTTTTTAGCTAGAGTAATAAATAGTTTTTCGGAACTATGGTTAGGACTATGTGTTGTTTATAGAATTTAAAACAATAGAATGAGGAAATTGTGATACACCACACTAATTTTGAATGTTTTTAAAGCACTATAAATAGTCAACAAGGGATATTCGGAATGTAGTTTCTTACACTGAATCATATAAAACCACCAAAGAAGTTTTTCCGCACTTTTTCAGTTGTCAAAAAAAAAAATGGGAATCCTCCACCAGTGTTATTTCTATTCTCCCGAACTGCGGTGGTGTAAAAGATAGCAAATGGCGTTTAGAATAACTGAGGGAGAATAAAACTCTCTGGGATGTTTAACACTCATCACTTGACTTGTTTTAGGAATTAGCGGTTCCCTTTCTTGAATTCATCCCCAATAAAATCAGTAACAGAAAAGTTATAACTTGCGGTATTAACTGTTTGTCACAAAGTTGTGCCCTGTAAAAGAATATTTAATCTCATAACAAAAATTTAAACTTTTTTTTTTGTCATATCATACTTTGAAAAATTTGTTGACTGGATAGACTAACCAAAAGAACTCAGAAAAATTTTTATAACAAGGTTTTTAAAAATGCTAAATTAGTTGCCTAATCCGTTTTAAAAAATTTTATTAATCCCTTATTATTTTGAAATTTTTGGGGGGTAAAAAAGTTACTTATATAAATTTAATTTAAAGAATATATAATTTTATTGTTTTTAGTATTTATTATTATATTGCTTATTGCTATGCTGTAGTCACGTGTGCAATTCCTGAGGTTGGCAGGTGTATAATATGAAATGTAGTAAAATTGGTTATTTTTGTGAGGGCTTAATTTTATCAATTTCCAACAGCCTTATGATAACAACTAAGAAAGTATTCTAATATTTTCTGTACCATGTTCAGAATGAACACTCCGAGTAACTTTTGATCTACAAAAAGGATAATTAATGAGTGCAGATGTTATTATAAGTTACGGAATCAGACGCATAACTTGCTTCAATGGAAATTAAATAAACAGTATTTTTAAAATATTTCAGTTTAATATTTAGCTAAGATAAAACATCCTAAAATGGGCATCCTATGTAATAAGCAGTAAAATAAAATGGATGGAATTAAAGTTAGCAATGTTTAATACTTATATTTATCGATATAATTCAAAATGTATTTTTGCCTTTATTTTTTCGCTTAAATTTTCCTTTATGTAGCACTTTAACTGAATAAGATTTTTATTTTATGTAACACATTCATTCAATATTGTACTGCTCAAAAAAAATATAAAACAAAGCATTAACATTAAGAATAAAGCACAAATATACAGGAAAATTGTATTATACCCTATCCTCGATTGGACTGTTATTTGAAGTGTGGAAAAGCAAGGGACAAATACTTGCTCAATATAATATTTTCTTTTTTATCATTTGTAGGAGACAATCCAGCTTTATCAGCTATCATTCAAAGTTTGAAAACTGGTAAAAGTTCATCATTAGATCATCTTAGAGTAGGTCAGCTTAGCGGCAGTCGCTCTCAACCACCTAGTCCTGTGTCAAAGCCACGCTCTAGTGTTGCATCTTCTCAAGCAAATGATATTCACAGTAATGCTGGGGGCAATCCTAATTTTCCTGATGATGTAAATATAAAAGGTCCCGCTCCAGCGCCTCCTCCTGCTAGCCAGAAGCCTGTCTTCAGGTCGAATACAGGAAGCGAACCCAGCAAGCTCACCACAGTCAAGCGATCTGCATCCCAGACTAATCTCGGTCAAAGGCCCCGTCTCACCAGGCCTCCTCCTAATGTCAAGCCTCCACCACCCCCTAAAGGCAACCCTCCTCCCCCTCAATCAGCCCCGCCCCCACCTCCGTCAAAGCCTCCTAACATTATGCGGAGGCAAAGTTTTGGCGTGGGTGAAGGACAGAATTTGCGTCTTGCTTCCAATAAACTGACTGGTAGCAGTACAGTCTCTAAGGCGATTGGGAAGAGTATCGGACCCCCGCCCCCTCCTCCTCCACCACGCAATAACAGTGCTCCTCATGACCTCAATCAGATGGTCACTAGTTCCTCTCCCAGCAGTCATTTGAACAAAATGAACATTGCTCCACCTCCACCCCCAAACAGAATAATGGCGAGTGGCAACAGAGCGGCTCCTATCAGGCCTCCTCCACGTGCTCCAGCTCCCCCTCCACCACCACCTCCCCAGCATCAATTCGGTGGTCATCCAGCCCCTCCTTCACAATTAAAGGCGATGCCATCGATGAACGCGGCACCCCCACCACCTGCTCGAGTTTCTTCCATGAAGACTTCTTCTGGTAATTACCTCATTCATTTTTTTTTTTTAATGGATTGATATTCTACAAACTTTTTGTAAAACATGTTTTCATAACTGAAATTGCTACTATTTATAACTAAATAAGTTTTTGTTGATTAGATAAAGGGTATAAGTTTATTTTATTTTGTTTAGCTTTATCCTAAGATCTTTGTGAATTTAAATGATAATGTTTTTGGAATGGAAGAATGATCCAAGTGAAATGACGCAAAACCTCAATTTTGAAAGAATTCAAAATACAGTGATTAGATGAAATAATAATTCATTCAAAATTCGGTCCAATTTGAGCAATAAGAATCCACTGAGGCACCTACTGAGCGACTATAATCTCTGAAAATCTTTTCTTGTATATACAAGTCAAAATAATATATGTCATTTTGTTCCAAATAGGGGTTGCGCGGATTTTTTTTTTTTTTTTTTTTTTTTTTTTTTTTTTTTTTNGGAATCTATAATAGGAAACACATGTGTTAAATGAGAAACATTAAAAACTCTCTTTTATAAATGACCCATGGCAGATCAATGTACCTCTCTGTCATTTTGTATATTATACCCTCATAAATATACTACAATGTTCTCCCTAAGCATGTTTTTTTTTTTTTTTTTTTTTTTTAAAGGCAGCTTGCCCTATGATCACAATAAATTTTCCATCTTTGCTGGGTTTTTTTTAATAATAATTCCTTAAAAATACTGCCAGATTCCATTTTGAAAAAAATTAATTCAGTGTTTAAATATTAATTACACACTGATATAATTATCTGTGTTTATAGGTTTAATTCTGATTACTGTTACAAATATTTACTTTGTCAGGATTATTCTCAGCCCGTTAAATTTTAATGAATATCTTTTTTTGGGGGTTTACATTTTTTTGAAAAAAGAAATATGCACAGAGATTGTTTTTTAGCATGCCTGTAATTATTTTTCTTAACTGCAAATTTTTCTCATATTTTGATAATGAGAGAGAACTACTTTTTCAAATATGCTCATAAAATCAGAGCTTGACAAAGGAATAGGCATACGGAGCAATTGCCCCTGGCCCAACATAGGAGGGTGCCCCAAATCGAATAAAAAGTTTATTTTAGGTTTCCTTCTTTAATGAACTTTTTTTAAAGAAAATGTCAGTGCAGTGTAAAATCCGTCAGTTATATGTTAACTTCTTCCTTAATCTATTGTAAAAACTCAAAAAATCCATTTTTCAGAAATTCATGGCTTTCTAGTGCGGAATTTAGGTAAATTTTGCAATTACGGTGGACACATTTGGCCTATCAAAAGACTGACTGTATTTTTACATATCGCAAAGTGGGATATGTTTATCAACATACGGACTTCTAATTGGCTTAATTGAAAAAATTTAGCTGAATTCTGTCCTAAAGTCAGTAAGGATGTGAATTTTTTGCAGCTAAATGACAAAGTTAACCATTAGAAAACTGCATGACGGATGTAGAATTGTCAGAAAATCAGTAAAATGGACAGAGCGATATTTCGTCTGACTATTGGAGAGGACTTAATAGCTTTTTTAAGATTTTAGTCCATTTTCTCGCTATATGTGTATAATGAGGTGAAAATTTAAACGCCTCCATGAAGTTCGGTTCTTCATTGCCGACATAGTGAAGCAGAGGAGGGGGCTCCCAAAGAAGCTTTTACCCCGGGCCCCCGTCAGGCCATGCATAAAATAGTACGAGAGGATCATTTAAAAATTTTTGAGGATAAAATTCAGTTGTTACATAATATTGCACATTATGATAAATTGTTAAGTGAGTGCAAAAATCAAATTCAGAGAGGAAGCGCTCTTTTTTATTCCTAGGGTGAACTTTGCATACTACAAGCGTGTAAATTGAGCAAAGCAACAAAACTATATAGTTTAATCCTATTCTCTAAAAGTGTCTTTTTGATCCACTGAGCTCTTAAATGGTTTCTCTATGCTTCAAAAATGTTTTATTCATTCTTTTCTTTTTGTCAAAAACCAAAATTTTATGCCATGTGCTCTCAGTAGAATGTTTCATTTTAAAAATGCACCTTATGATGTTGATCCTATTTTGGAAAATGTTTCAAAAGAAATAATATTATTCACCGAATTCTTTTTTTTTTCTTTTTTTTTTTTAATCCTTTAAAACTTTTGAAAAAGTAGCCTGTGTTAAAAATGCTACTACTGGCCCAGTAGCAACATTTCCTCATTTTGCTTCTACCAGGAAGTAAGGTAGATTTTATTCCATTCAGTAAACTATGAATTAAAAACAAATTATATTAAAATAAATGTAATACTAAAAAAATCAATTTCCTCAATCTTTGTCTCGATAATTTTAACCTCCAGGAATGACCACCTCCATTCAAGAACACTTTCCATAGACTGAAAGAAACCATTAAAATCTCTCACAGTGACCCGATGCGGAAGAGGTCAAATAAAGAAACACCAAAAAAATATTTCTGTGAGACTCTAAATTAGAAAACTCTTTTTGACGATACAACCTCGTGTTGCGGTCAGATTGCTCTAAAGACGATGCTATCTCTGATTTACTTTTATAGTTGAAAATTTAAATTCGAAAATAAACAAGCATCTCTTACAAACCTCTTTTCAATTTTTGAAGATAACTCATTTTTATGATAGAAAATTAAATCCAAACTTAAACAAAAAACTTAATTGTTTATTTATTTAAAATAGTTCTATCATTCATAATGAGTAAGGCCCGGATTTTGATGACATTTGCATTTTTGGACATTTTTTGTCCTTTAGAGCATTTTTTGAGATTTATAGGGCATTTTCTTTAAATTTTGGGGCGTATTTTGCATTTTAAAGCATTTTTTAAATTTTTTGTTAATTTTTTTGTAATTTTTATTATTTTTTATAATTTTTTATTGTTACACTGGCTTCCAAACAATGAAGAAAATCTCTAGGATATTAAAAGGTGAAGCAACATCTTTTCAAATTGAAGAAGAATTGTCAGTAAGTGTGACCGTCCTTTTCAAGTACGCACCAATAACATCAGTAGACGTTGAAAGAAGCTTCTCCTGGTATAAAAATTTGCTTTCAGACAAGAGACGCTCGTTTACATTTCAAAATATTAA